CAGCCAGTAGATTTTTAAGGTTTATGCTTCAATGATTGTTTTGAGTGAGGTCTGCAGCACCTGGAAGCTCTGGTTTTAACAAGCCCAGTCCCCCAACCCAAACCCACTGCCAGTCAAGTGGATTCTGACTCATAGAGTAGAGCTGCCTGATAGGGTTTCCAAGACTGTGAATCTTTATGGAATCAGACTGCTACTGCTCTCTCCCATGGAGCAGCTGGTTGGTTTGAAGCTCTGACCTTTTTGGTCAGCATCTGGGCACTTAACCACTGCACAACCACGGCTCCTACTATTGGTGTAATGATGATGGCTGGAGAAGTGTATACATAGGGTGTTAAGGTGAGCATGTCCACTGAGCTTATTAATCTAAACAGTTATTAAACCTAAAGAGTTAATGCTACCCATCGATGAGTTTCTCATTCTTACCTTCTTAATGTTAGGTGTCCCATTATGAGATAGGTTCCTCATCCATTTTTTTTTTTTTTTTAATTATTGTCTAATTTATAACATCAGACACTCATGAACGTTAACATTGTCCGTAGTAGCAACTTATTTTAGATAAAATAATTCTGGGAAGACTAAGTCATCACAAAAATGAATGAAAGGTTATTCAGAACTTGGTGATAGTTAATAATAACAGGAAAACCAATGGAAATAATGCATGTAAAGGTGTGTAATATCCTAGACAGGTACTTTATTTCTACCATTGCCAGTAATGACATCAATAATAATAAAACGTTGAGTGTTCATATTGAGATGGTCCAAAGCAAAGCTTAAGATGGGTCTTTCTAAAATTGTCTGATTACAAAAATAAAGATTACAGCTAGAGGCCAGTCTTAGAAGGTATGAGCTGAGTTGCCTAATACTGTGTAGTCTTTTCTTCCCATGGTAGCTATTGAAGTGAACACCAGGCTCAATGTTAAAGGGACAGAGAAGTCATAAGAAGCAACTGTGTAGTGTGTGTGTGGAAGGGGGTTGAGGTTAGGATGTGGTGGATATGATGATTTGTTTATTTGTGTGTGCATATATTTCATTTCCTGTTTATTTCATGCATAAGTGTATGCCTAACATATTTGTAGCAGCTCTGTGCCCACCTCCTTAAACTAGCTGTCACACCTTGGGGTCAAAACTTGAAGACACATATTTCCTCTATTCCTGTTTGCATTTTTGCCTATCCACCCCTGCCTCTTTTTTTTCTTTTGCCCCATAATTTTATCTCTCCTCTCTGTATTTCCTTCTTTTCTTTATTCACCTTTCCCTGAACTAAGCTCTGGGAAGCTTTCCAGGAACTTGCTTTTGTCCTCCAACTATAGGGGAGTGTAGTTTGAAAACATTTTTTATGAAACCAGTCATGGCCTTAGAACTTGAATGATCAAGGGTGGTGTGTACTTTCTGTGGTTCATTAAACATGTAAATTTTTGCATGGTAACTGATTGCCTTTTGCTGGAGAAAAGTTTTCAGAAATTAGACTGGTCCCTCTCTTTACTGCTAAGTGGATTTTAAAGTGACTTGTAGGTGTTAGTTATAGGTGATTACTCCAGTAAAAAGACAAAGGACAGTTTGGCACAAATTGAATTGATTGTCTCATTGACCAGTTTCACAGCAAGCAACTTGAAGTAATAAAGGGAGATTTATGGTGGTTGTGTTGTCCTTCTTTCCTAGGATGCTGCCTCCCTTGGTTCTCAGAAAGGTGGGATCACTAAGCACGGGTGGCTGTACAAAGGCAACATGAACAGTGCAATAAGTGTGACCATGAGGGTAAGGCCGTTCATCACTCTCTATTCCTGTCATTGAACCCCTTTGCTGTTGGCCTTGAGACTAGTGCTCAAGGTGAATGGGCATACTTTTCTTCCTGAAAAAAATGGCATTGCCTGGTTAGTAAGGTGCCTCCCTGGTGATAGCGCCATTGGTACAGACCTTCCTCTGTTCCCTTCTCCTTATCCTCTGACCACTGACATGAGACTATCACTTGGCTTGATGTGAATATGCAGTCACTGACTCAGGCTTTATTCTTTATATTAACTACAGTGGTGATACTTGCTACCTCACGGACTTATCACCACGAGACACTTTTTCAAGCTGAGCCTAAGCATTTCTGTGGACGTATTCTGGGACAAAGTCAAGTAAAGCACAATTTGAGAATTAAGGAGAATTGGTTAAATTTGAAGAGGGTTGCAAGAGAAAAGTTAAAAAAAAAAAAAAGTAGTAGTAAAACTACTCAGGAGAGAAGAGGACCAGAGCATAGAAAGGCCAAAAATTAATAGAAAGAAGCAAAACAATGGAGAGGGGATGGGAGCTTGAACAAATAGGGAGATGAAAATTAAATCACTGGAAATGCTGACTTGCATAATCTTGAGGCTAGAAAATTGTTCAGCATCATGAAGCAGAAATAGTTTCTCATCTGTGTGAGCAAGAAACTCTGGGGATTTTAGAATGTTTCCATCCTTCTGTGCTACATCCCAAACTGAGTGGTTATGCAAGATTGCATATCCTGTGGCTTATAAAAATGACCCATGGATGTGAAGTGAGCCACCTTCTCAGAAGTGCAGTGCAGTAATACTTATTATTAGATGTGATGGAGAGTCAGTACACCCAATTACATGGGGAACTGGCTAGAGTCAAATTTGTTTTGGAGAGGATGGAGATTGTTTTTTTATGAGTGTATTGTTGTAAGTTATTGGTAAAGATAGTGATTTTTTAAAAATTTGAAATAGTAACTGTGTATTTTTCTCTCAGTCATTTAAGAGACGATTTTTCCACTTGATTCAACTTGGTGATGGATCCTATAATTTGAATTTTTATAAAGATGAAAAGATCTCTAAGGAACCAAAAGGATCAATTTTTCTGGATTCCTGCATGGGTGTGGTTCAGGTAAATATGAAAATAGCTATATCGTCAAGTTTCCTTTCTGTAAAAGAACCATTTATGAATTAGCAGATTTAAGCACAGTTAAAAAATGTGAATATGATTAGTGGGAGAAATACAATATCTGACTTTAAAATGAGTAAAGGCTGGCTTTTCATCGAATGAGAAGATGGCAGCTATAGCATACAGGCAGAATTATGTTGTGGTAAGCATGAACACTGTGGTGCCTGAATTCTCGTGTTTAAACCTAGCTCTGCCGCTTTTTAGCTGTATGACCATAGGTGGACTACTGAAGTTTCTTGGTCTGCAAAATTGGGATAATCACAATTTTTATTTTATAGCATACTTGAGAAAATTGCATGAGTTAATGCATGAAAAGATTTAAAACAGTTCTTAGCATCTAATAAGCACTCAATAAGTGATGACTTTATTACTACCATTTTAGTACCAATGGCAGTGTAGTTACTGGTTAAGAATTTTAGAACCAGACTGAGTTCAAATTTCTACTCTGCTACTTACCACCTGTGAAATCATAGCGATGATACTTAACCTTTCGGTGCCTCAGTGTCTTCCTCTGCTAAATAAGGATAATGATAAGACTGAATACAGTTATTGAGGGGATTAAATTAATTAATACAAGTGCTTAGAACAAAGTGCAGAAGAACATTAGAGATTTTCATCATAGTGTTGTTGTGTTGTAGTTACTCTTTTTTTTTTTATTTTTCTCCCTGGGGTTACTTTTTCCCAGTGTTCTTTCCTACTCATTCCTGCCCTCTGATCTATCTCCTTGTGCAAATACTACCCTCTGATCTCCCATGGTTGATTGTTCTAAGGAGTATACATACCCAGTGTAAATGTTGACCTTATATGCCTGTTTGGGAGCTCTGGTAGCATAGTGCCTAAGGCATTTGACTGCTAACCAGAAGGCTGGCAGTTCAA